GGAGCTGTGGCTCAAAGTGGTAGAGTGTTAGCCTTGAGCCTAGACTCAATGACAGTGCCCAGGCCCTAATTTCAAGACCCATGACCGACCAAAAAAAAAAATTAGTTCTTAGTGGGATTTCCCCCCTTTTTTCAATGTTAGAGATTGAACCCAGGGTCTTATGAAAGAAAAGCACACATTCTACCATTTACTTACACTTCAGACCAACAATTAGTTAATATGGCAAGAATTAATTATTCTATTTAAGTGATGGATAAGTGGAGAATTCATTGTACTATCTTATCTGATTTTTGTGAATGGTAGAGCTTTACCATAACATAATATCATTTTTCAGTTGTGGGGTATAACTCAGTGCTTACCTAGCATGTTCAAAGCCCTGGGTTGGAATCTCAATGCAATGAAAAACATATATGATATTAAAACCTTGGACAACCATGAGGGCGACCCACAGAACCAAGAAGGAGCTGTTCCGACAGACCTTTTGTAAAGGGAGAGATGTGTATCTTGAAAGCTACTTAAAATACACCTACTTGAAAAAGAAAAAACAGAAAACCTTGGACAAATGTTTTACCACAAAAAAATTGCCTGCCTCGGGCTGGGAAGGTGGCTCAGTGGTAGAGAGCTTGCCTTGCATGCATGAGGCCCTGGGTTCGATTCCTCAACACCACATAAGCAGAAAAAAAAGACCGGAAGTGGTGCTGTGGCTCAAGTGGTAGAGCACTTGCCTTGAGCTGAAGAGCTGAGGTACAGCGCCCAGGCCCAGAGTTCAGGCCCCACGACCGGACCAAAAAAAAAAAAGAGAGAGAGATAAAAAAAATTGCCTGCCTCTAGGGAGGGTTGGAGCAGCACTTTATCATTTCATTACTTTTCTAAACAATTTAATTGTATATGAAACATACATGTGTATTATTTCCAGTAAATATAATTACTTTTTTGTTATGCTGGGGATCAAATGCAGTGCCTCAAGCAGACTTAGCAAGCACTCTATCACTAAGCTACACCCCCAAACCTGTTCAATTTTTATTTAATAGCAATGAAAGATGAGGATTTTGGAATTCTAGCCATGATTGAATAGCTTGCTCCAAATTGATCTTCCCACTGAAAATAATTTTTATAAAACTGGACAAAATATAACTGCTTGATGGCATTAGAATGGCTATCATGTTAGGAAGGAGGAAAACACAAAAGGTGAATCCCTATGTAAGTCAGATAAAGAGTACATTTCTTTTTGAACAATGTCACCCCTTCCCTTGCTCTCTCCCAGGTTTTCCCTCCTGTCCCCACCCACAAGTTGTATAGTTCATTTCAGCATAGTGTCTAGTGAGTATCACTGCTGCATTTGTTCACCTTTTGTCCCTCTATTTTTGTGCCCTTCCTTACCCTCCCAAAGACATATAAATAACAAAAGCAAACTTAAAAACCCAGCAACAACAACAATAACAACAAAAAGGTGAGCCCTATAGTCATTTCAGCTTTACCATATCACATATGACACACAATTTATCAGGTGGTTGTCATAGAAACCAAAAACAATTACATGGCAAATACTATTTATTACCTGTATATTTACCTTCTCATTTTATACTTTATAAAACATATCCCACCAAAAAACCCCATGATTTATCCAGGGGCTGGAGGCTCATGCCTATAATCCTAGCTAACTCAGGAGACTGAGATCTGAGGATAATGGTTCAAAGCCAGCCCCAGCAGAAAAGTCTGTGAGACTCATCTCCGAAAACCAGAAGTAGTGCTGTGGTTCAAAGGAACAGAGCACTGGCCTTGAGCAAAAGAGCTCAGAGACATGCCCAGGCCCCATGACCGGAAACAAAATCTCTGTGATCTTTAATACTCTAAGATAGTAATTATTCTTATTTTACAAATGAAAAACCTAATCTTCCAAAGTTACACAGCTAGTAAGTCACAGGGCTGGAATTCAAACCTAGGTAGGTGTTCAGCCTTCAATTCTTGTACTTAACTGGATACACATGCCTGTAGTTCAGCTACTGGAGAGGCTGGCACAAGATGAGCAACTGATATCACAAATTAGAGACCAACCAGGATAATTTAGCAAGACTTCATCTCAAAATAAAAAAATAAATAAATAAGCCAATCATAGTGGTACACATCTGAATCTCAACACTCAAGAAGCAGAGGCCAGGGCTGGGAAGGTGGCTCAGTGGTAGAGCACTTGCCTTGCATGCTTGAGGCCCTGGGTTAGATTCCTCAGCACCATATAAGCAAAAAGAAAAAAAGCTGGAAGTGGCGCTGTGGCTCAAGTGGTAGAGTGCTAGCCTTGATCTGAAGAGCTGAGGGACAGTGCCCAGGCCCAGATTTCAGGCCCCACGACCAGACCCCAAAAAAAATTTTAAAAAAAAGAAGCAGAGGCCAGAAGATTGTTGAGTTTTACGCTAGCCTGGGTGTTATAATTTAAATAAGAAAGATTCCAGGATGATACAACTGGCTACCATCTAAAGTCTTAGATACTCAGGAGACTGAGATCTGAGGATCTCCATTTGAAGCTAACTAGGGAAGGTAAAGTCAAATGAGACTTTTATCCCCAATTAGCCAGCAAACCTGTAGTAGAGGTGTGATTTAAATGGTAGGGTGCCAGCCTTGAGTAAAACTACTAAAGGAGAGCACAAAGCCCTGACTTTAAGCCCCAGTATAAGCACAGAAAAAAAAGAGAGAAGAAGGGAGGGAGAAAAGGAAAGGGAGGGGGGAGAGGGAAAAGAGAGGAGGGAAGGGAGAAAGGTGGGGAGCTGAAGGGAAAGAGGAAGGGAAGGGAAGGGAAGAAAGGAAGGAGTTAGGAAAAGAGGGGAAGGGAGAAGGGGGAAGAGAGAAAGAGAAGGGGATAAGGAAGGAAAACATGTTTCTAACATGCTTACTCCCCTAATAGTGGTGTTATTTGGGAGAGGTTCTAGACACAAGGAAGCTGGAAGAAGACAGCCACTGGGACCCAATCCATGCAAGTAGCTTGTCTCTGGCCCTCTTCTTGCCTTTTCTCTCCTTCCTGGCCAGTGTGATGTGAACTAGTCTGTTCTGCCATGTCCTCCCTTTCCTGAAGTACTGCCAGCTCTTAATCCAGGAGCCTAAAGACTACCTTCCTCCAAATTATGTCATTATGTTTATGTCAAGTATAATGTCACAGAAATGAGAAAAGTATTTATCATGCTGGACTACATAATCAGCTTCTATCACAATTAAAATTAACTAATTTACTGATTAACTTTCATTAAGTAAGAAAACAAAATGCTGTACTCTTTTCCTTAACTCAGTGATTGTACATTTTCACTAGGAAAACTTTCTTTTTGTTTTCTGAGACAACATCTTGATATATATTCAAGGCTGACATGGAACTTACTATGTAGCCCAGGCTGGCCTCAAACTCACATCCTCCTGGCTTCAGCCTCCAACATGCTGGGATTACTGAAGTGTTACCATATTTTCCAGGTGAGAAATTAGCACTTATTTGCCATTTGAGAGGATTTTATTGTGATATTTACATACATATATATAGTGCGCATTGATCAAATTGACCCCCTCCACCATATTCCTATATGCTGATCAAATGACCCCCTCTAAAACATTCCAATTTTTTTCTCCCATTGTCCCCTTTTGTGAAGTATTTGGTGCTTTTCATTATGCTTTTCATCATCCTTGTAAGTGTGTGTATGTGTGTGTATATATTCATATTCATGCTACATATTTAATGTTCTTTGATTCTCTTCACCTTCTCCCTCCTTTCTCTTTTCTCCTCCTCATCTCACTGATCCACTCCTAGACAGTCCCAATTTTATATCCTTATCCATTACCAGTATTATTATCATCAGGATTTTAGGACTATATTCCACAAATGGACAAAGAACAGGCAATGTTTAGCTTTGTGAATCCGACATCTCATTCAACATCTCCAGAACTATCCATTTTCCTGAAAATAAATGATTTTTTTGGTGCCAGTCCTGAAGCTTGAACTCAGGGTCTGGGCACTGTCCATGAGCTTCTTAGTCTCCAAGGCTAGCACTCTACTACTTGAGCCACAGCGCCATTTCCAGCTTTTTCTGAGTAGCATGTTAGAGTCTCACTGACTTTCCTACCTAGGCTGGATTCAGACCACAATCCTCAGAGCTCAGCCTCCTGAGTAGTTTGGATTATAGGCGTAAGCCAGCAGCACCTAGCTCCTGAATTTCATTTTTAAGGCTGAGTAATATTCCATGATGTGAGTGTATGTTTGTACATACGTACATAGCATTTTTTCTTCATCCACTCATTGACTGAGAAATTCTTTTAAGTCAAAACGATAACATTCCCCTGGGAAGAAAAACTACTGCTCTATAAAGTTAGAGGTGATAAAAGCAAAAAGTAATTCATAGATCCAGACTTATACATTCAATATTTAGTTTACTGAACTACTATAATAAGAATTACAGTACCACTGACAGCTTTAACTATACTAATGATAAAAAGAATACAACAAAGGAGGAGGCAACAATGCTTGATAAGAAATGTACTCATTATCTTGCCCATGTAATTGTAACCCCTCTGTACAGTATTTTCACAATAAAAAA